GAAACACACAGGTACTATATTTATTATATTACTTGACTCACGAATTATTGTAATTTATTTAAAAACATTTATGTTACAATTTTGAAATTTTGTGTGCAATTTACTATTAATGACGAACGTTTGAACTATCGGATTGATCGTAGTAATAGACAAATTCCTCTGGATCATATAACTGGATACTTTTGTCTATCACCAGTATTTATTAGGGGAACTCACTTTTAATTATAGATAATAAGTTTGTAACAAACGTTTCCTGCGCAATTAATAAGTCAAACATAGTATAACGTTAAAACTCAAAATTACGGCTTTTACGTTGTACTAATGCGTTAAATTATATTAAGAATTATTGTGATACTGAAGATGGTCTAATTTAATGCCGTAACATTTATTTAATCATTATTTGAAATATAAAATATCAATTGCTAACATTTTGCGTTTGTGGTGTATACTCTTTAATTTTCCGTTTTACATTTTAACCACGCATTGACATTTATTCTTTAATGAATTGTTAACAGAGAAATTATCTGTTATGAAAATATGGAAATATGTTAGACCACAGGCCTGTCCGATACTTTGCTCGTGAATCGAAAACGCCACCATCTCTCCGTCATCTCGGTACAGCGAGACGAAGCGAAAATAACAAAGGATAGGCGGCAGGGCTCCGCCTCAATTCAGTCGGAGAGTCATAGGCCTAGTTTACACCTAGGGTTCGATCCGAGTCGGAATGTGAGAACCAACCAATTGCAGTCGAGTATTCCCCTGTTACAGTCGAATGATAAGGGAATGTTCGACTGCAGTTGGTTGGTTCTTACATTCCGACTCGGATCGAACCCTGGGTGTAAACGAGGCCATAGAATGAAAAAGCCGAGGGAGAACACATTTAATAACTAAATAAAAAAACAACTACTATAATTTTATTTTGAGAAATGGATTCTCCCTCGGCTTCTTCTGTGAACTATAACTAAATTTTAGTTTATTATGCTCGCCAATGTTACCCAAAAATTACAATAAAATTTAATGGAACGTTTCTACCTTTAATCTGGCGTCAATAGTGATTTTTACAACTTATGATGATCAGATTAAAGGTGGAAACGTTCGATTTTATTGTAATTTTTGGATGTCACACTGGCGAGCATAATAAACAAAATAAAAAACAGCTTATAACATCCGGTGTGCCTACAATATAGCGCCCCATCCTTTTACCAAGCGAGCGCGAGCACGGAATATAGCGTATCGATACAATATGTGCCGACTACAATCGCGTACAGCTATAGGCCATGCCACCGAAACCGTCGCGATTGAACGCCGCGCACACTGCGCCTGCGCCAAACATTAAGCAACAAAAACGTTAAAAGATTGCACCTTCGTGCATAAACATCGCCGCCACGGGATAGGAAAGAGCAAATACAACAGCCGAATTCCACGCGCGCAAAGAGCGACAAGAACCGAAGTAATACTGAAACTTATAATGAAAAAGGCGCAGAGAAAATATGCAGGTCTTGCCGCGCCAGGCTGCAGTACGCGGCAGCTGAGCACACCCACATGAATATCGCGACCCCCGTAATAAGATAACGCGTTCAAATCTAGCAATACCTAATTACTAACGAATTAAATAACTAATTAAGAGATAGACACATTCTAGAAAATTTCACAATAGCACGAAGACGAAAACATCCCCTTACCGCGAGGGGCCACGAAGCCAAACATATATAAGGCAGAGCGTTTAAAGACACGCGTCCTCGTTTTTCCTCATCATATCCTCCTATCAACAACTACGGTGTTCACCAAGCGCTTTAACTAGCGTTCCGGCACTTCCGTCTTTCCGAATTTCCGGCCCTGATCGTGCGCCTTTGCGGCGTCAGAGGGGCTACTCCCATTTACAGCTTCGGCGGCGTTTTAAACCAAAGCGACGACGAAGCTCGCCTCCTGCGGAGCTCAAACGAGCGCCTTTCACGGCGTCGAGGCCTCCGCATTCACACCCCCTTTCGCCCTTCTCTATACTATAATCTTCTTTTACATGTAGATGCCTAAGAAGAAGCGCCCAAGGGGAAAGAGGGGAGGGTGGCGGGTGTATTTAAAGAAGTAGCAACGAGCATTCCTCGCGCACTGGGAGTTCGACTCCACGACTCATTGGGGGGAGCAATCCGACTCGGTCTCGGGGACACGCGAACTCGCTATCGAAGACCGATCGGAGTCACCCGCGACAAACATTCTTCCAGCGGCCGTTCCGGTAAAAGACCCGAACGAGGAACAAGGGCGACCTGTACCACGTCCCGCGCCGCAGAGATCACCATCATACATAGCGTCCGCCCGCAAACCCACAAGGTCGTCTATAATAACCAGCAAGCCGCTGAATTATTAATAATCAGTCCTGTAATTTAGATATTAAAATTATTAGCTTTTACTTTTCTTCCTTTTCTTTGCCAATAAAGGCTTTTTACCATTCCTCCTTGCTCCTTCCCAGCACAGGAATCAGAGAGCGTAGATAGAGTGAAGCGTGTGATGAAAATATCACAGCTGCCCTCAGGAAAAGAGATCTTTATATTTTCACAACTTTCTCGTACACCTTCGTGTACTACGGGCGCTCTTTATCTGACAATTCCTCTAACTCTCTGTTTTATTTTCTTTCTTGTGCATAACAAGGGAACACGAAGGCTTATCCTATGCATAATATAATAAAGGAACTTAATTAGCAAAATTGTAATTCTATTCGTGCCTATTACGATGGCACTGGTGACAGCAGCCTGCCTCTATGCGTAAAAACATACCGATAAACAAGCCTCAGTCGAAGCCAAGGCTTCACCCCGCGCGCCCCGCTCCGCGCTCGCGTTCCCACGACTTTGGGTGCGTTCCGAGTCACGCATGAAGCGCGTGGACTGCAATACTGATGCACAACGCTTTAAAATCGTTCCGTTTTTTCAATGCGCGCATAACACGCACGAAGCGCTTATGAATTCGAACCGGTTTCCTGTGCGAGCTGTGCACTGAGTGGACTGGAGTGGGGTGAGTGGTAATGTTAAAAATGGATGCCGAACGAAACATCAAGAAATGATTTACAGTATCAATGGTTACTTCATTGATATTAGACAAAAACTTCGAAAGTGACAGCTCACAATCGAGTGAGAATGAACATGAAAATGAAGACGAAACATTAAGGGGGATATGCAAACATTATATTGTACACTAATGGGGAGTAAAGCATGTGGGAAAATGATTGCAACCGAAAAAATTACCGATTATGTTGATCGTGTAATTCCTAATTACTCCAATATTGCATTTAAAGAGCATTTCAGGTAAGCATTTCAATATATATATATATATATATATCATTAAATTATAAAGATAAAATATTTTTGATTTGGTTTTGAGAAATTAATTTCACTTACATCATAATCTAACATTTTAGAATGTTTCCGACAACATTTGAAATGATTTTATCATTAATCGGACCAGCGCTAAATAAGACAAATACCATAACTGGAAGAAAACCAATTTCAGCAGAAAAACAACTATATATTACTCTGTGGTTTATGGCTACTCCTGATTCGTATAGGTATGTAAAATTTGTATAAACTATTTTTGTTTTGTATGCATGTAATTACCACTATCGTTACATTGTTACAGTTTTTTCATTTTTTATATAATGGCTTATTGTAGATCCGTTTGCGTCAAATTTGGAGTAGGTAAAGCAACGGCTTTTAGAGCCGTAAGACGTGTAACTTATGCATTGCATTGCATGGCGCCTCGATTCATTCAGTGGCCTGATGAAGCTGTTGCTACTAACATCAGCGATCAATTTTTAGAAGCTAGTGGCTTTCCAAATGTAATCGGTGCTATAGATGGGACTCATATCAAGATCCGAGCACCACCAACAGATTCAGTTTCATACATAAACCGGAAAGGTTTCCCATCTATCAATCTTCAAGTAGTTTGTAATTCGAGGGGTCTCTTCACACACTGCTATGCAGGTCAAGTGGGATCAGTACATGATGCTCGGGTTTTCAAAAACTCTCCAGTAGCACATTTTCTTGAGAGACCTGAGGTGTACTTCCCTAACAACTCTCATATTATTGGAGATGCAGCATATCCGATTCATCCCCACGTAATGGTTCCATTTCGAGACAATGGACATTTGACAAATCAACAAAAAAATTTTAATTATTGTCTATCTTCAACAAGAATGGCAGTTGAACGGGCGATTGGCCAATTGAAGATACGTTTTAGAATATTAGTAGACTGTTTACCACTGACAGACGTTAAAAAGATACCAAAGTTCATTATAGCGTGTAGTGTCTTACACAATATTTGTTTATTACAAAATGATGTTATGACTGTCGGTGTCCAACATCATGAAGAATATCAGGCCCAAATTCGTGATAATAACACTGATTTAGGAAATGCCAAAAGAATAGTAATAATGAATGCTTTGCCAATAAAAATAAATGCATGATTTTTTAATGAAGAATTGTTTAATGTTATAACTTTAATAGAAATGACTTTGACAAATCATTTTGTTACGTATTTGAAATAAATTTGTAGGACCTATCAACGAATTTGTATAAAAAATTTTGTATTGTATTTTTTAATGAATAAACATGTAGGTTAATAGACATTCGTTTCTGCTTAATCTTTGGTTTTATTTGCATTATAAAATCTTATTCAAAACATTCAAATTATGTATTTTGTAAGCCTCCTCCACAAAGAAACATTTCTCAAACATTAAAAAAATATTTTACATTTTTCAATATTTTTTTAACATAAACATGAACAACTTATTTTTATTAAATAATAAGCATATTTTATGAAAAATATTTTTCAAATGATGTACAAGTTCCATATTAAACTTATATTAAATAAAACAGTTTTTAAAAGTTTTTAAATGAACAAATCATTAATAATTTTAATACAAAACTTAATCAAACTTTTAACTAAAGGTCAATAAACTTTCTTATTAAAAAAACAAAAAACTTGACAAAAACCACCATAAAAGGTTTTTGTTTTTATCTAAGTAATGGCTCGGAAACCTGGAAAAGTAAATAAGCATGCACGTAAACGCTTTCTTACTTATTTCTTATAAAATTACAAGAAACTATTTTATTTTAAAAATTGTTGTAAAATGGATACTAAAGATTTTTGGACATCCATTTGCTCCTTATGTCTTCTCTCGCGATCTCGTCTATTTTCTTCTCGAATTTCTTCGTGCTTTGTCTCTCTTCTTTTCCTTTCTTCTCTTTTTTCTTCTTTTTCTGCAGTTATATTTTTTACTAATTCTTCCAAAACGTGTTCCACCCGTTTTTTCTTCCTCTGTGGACCTGCATTGGATAACATAAAAATGACCATTACTAGATCAATACATGTACATAATAAATATATAACCTTTAGATCTTTATTAATGCAACTAATTCCTTTTTAACCTTACTATATATTACAAAATATTAATCTTTTACGCTAAACATAGTAATCCATTTATTAAACGAAATAAATTTTCTAGAACTATTGATGTTTGACTAAGAAAAATATGCAAATAACATTTAAAGAATATGTTACTCGACTCAGTGGAGATAATTTTCAACAAAGAAATACCGGCGTTCATAAAGTGTTTTAATACACGAGTTCTAATATATAAAATTATAATAAAATTATTACCTAGTTCACTGGAGAAAATTTTTGAGAACAACGACATAACTTTATATCGAAGACGTAAGAAATCAGAAACAAATTAAGATTTTATTTTTGCAGCAGTTGTTTTCAAGTACTTACTTCTTATGTCAGAGCACGAGATCGTAGATGATGTTGGTGATAACTCCTTAAAAGGGTTCACTGGATCACTCGTTGCAATTGCAGGAGGATTAATTGAAGCTTTATCACCAAATATTGAATCCATAACCTATAGTATACAATAATAATAATAGTAACAAAATGTGTACAATAAAATATACTAAATGCATATAAAAACCAGGTATTTTACGATACATGATAAAACATTCTTACCGAAAAAAAAGCCCACGAACTTGTATGATTTCCGCTTTTTTTATTTAAGTCAGCAATATTTTTATATGTCCGCTTTAAGCCAGACATTTTGGACGCACATTGCTGACCAGTCACTTCATATAAAGAATTCGCCTCTTTCATCGCAGCAGCAATTTCAGTCTAGATTCTATTGCTACGTTTTCCAGTAGAGAAATCTTCTTCTCTTTCTCGGTACATTTCCAATAACAAAAGTACTGCCTTGTCTGGCCATACAAATACCTTCGACTTGTCTAAAAGCATTAATTTAAAAAGTAAACACAACTATTAAATCATCAAAATATGATCTTTTACATTATTCTTAATCTTGAATATACATGCTTTTAAATAAAATTAAAAAGTTAATTGCAGATATTAATTACATAAAAATACAGGGTGTCCCATTTTAAATAACGGATAGGAATATCTCGGATGGTAAGCATTTTGGAGGAAATTTGTTTATACAAAAGTT